TTTGGGGGTCAAAGAAGCCTCAAACATTATTTTTAATTATTTTTAATCAAAATTTCAACCTTAGTTTACTTTTAAGGTGCAATTGCAACAAATAAACAAGTTCAGGATGTTGTAATTCACTTTTAAATTAGGGAGTAATTGCAACTAGTTTGAAAAGTTCAGGGTGCTTAGGGTAAAAAGGTCGTTTTTGGATGAAATTATAACTACTCAAAAGTTCAGGGTGAAATTGAAGGTTAGGCCTTTAGATCTAGGTCTTCACACCTTTGGCTTGAAGCCTCATTGGCTCACCAAGCCTTCTCTAAAAAGCAGCTATGGGTTTATGTCCTCCATGGCCTCCTAAAACCCCACTTGGTTCAGATTTTTCACTCTTGAAATCTAAGTCAAGTTAAAGCTTTGAACCGAGAAGGTCATAACATCTCTAATCCTCCAAAGAAGAAGAAGAAGCCGAGCTGCCCTTCGGTTCACCATCCGGTCAAATTTGTAGGTCTCACCAACAGGCCCAAGTAAGTCCTCTATGTCATTATACTTTTAAATATTGTTCTCCTCTAAAGAGCTTTCTTTTTTACATTCGACAATCAACACCAAGATACTTTTCATAAAAATGACAATTCAACTAACCCCCATTTTACAACGGGTAAAACTACTTGGTCCTATTTCCCATCCTAAGGGATAAACAGGTAGGCTCGAGTCTCTAAAACCAAGTTGCGTATCAAATCTCCAAAAAATCTCTTTCTTTTTCTTTCTCTTTTTCTTGTAGATCGGGAGATGTGTGATTACCCTAGAATCTCCATCAAGGGCCTAGAGGCAATGCTCCTTTATCTTGTAATTAGTTTTATGTATTGCTTTTTATTTCTTTATTGCTTTTGTTTATCACTTTTCTTTATTACTTTCCAATATATGTCATCTTAATTCTACCTTTCTTTTTGAAATTAAACATTTCCCCAAGGCCAATCAATTGAACATTTAACTAAAAACCTAGTCTAAGAATCCTCCTTGATTTCTTGATTAGTGCACTTTTCTTAAATGGAGTCAAACCAAGTTTTTTCTTAAGTTTTACCTTGAAAATAAAACTTAAGTGGCGACTATAGAAAATCCTTCCGTGAATCTAAACCAAATGAGCGTTTCGATCTCGTTTAGCAGATTGGACTTGACACTTGGGTCAGGGTCTTACAATTGGCGACTATGCTGGGAAGTAAAATAAATTTTACAAATTGGACTACTAATTCGTTTATAAAATAAAAAAATCTAACTTTATTTTCCTAATGTTCACTTGATTAGCCTTTCTTTAATGTTTAATATTTTCATGCATCTTTATTTTCCTAATGTTCACTTGATTAGCCTTTCTTTAATGTTTAATATTTTCATGCATCATTACATTTTGGCTTGAAGTCAGGTTTATTATCATATCTTTTATTTGTCTTACACTAAATTAGGAGTGAGGGAAATCTCCTTACCGTTGATAGATTTGAATGCCTTCCTATTGGGAAGTAAAATAAATTTTACAAAGTGGACTACTAATTGGTTTATAAAATAAAAAAAACTAACTTTATTTTCCCAATGTTCACTTGATTAGCTTTTCTTTAATGTTTAATATTTTCATGCATCGTTACATTTTGACTTGAAGTCAGGTTTATTGTCATATCTTTTATTTATCTTATACTAAATTTTCTTTAATGTTTAATATTTTCATGCATCGTTACATTTTGACTTGAAGTCAGGTTTATTGTCATATCTTTTATTTATCTTATACTAAATTGGGAATGGTGGAAATCTCCTTACCTTTGGTAGAATTGAACTCCTTCCTATTGGTGTCTTCAATTATAATATGTGTGATGAGGTCGGCAAGTGAAACTTATTTGTGCTTGTGCTTAAGTTGGTTCTTATAGTCACTCCAAGACTGGGGAAGTTTTTCAATGAGAAAACTAGCCATAAACTCTTCTTGTTAGTTGATATTTTCAAATTTGAGGTCTTTCAAAAGTTTGTGGTATTCATCGATTTGAACTTTGGTTTCTTTGTCTCCAACCATCTCCCACTTGTAATACTTGCCAATCATGAATTTCTGCTTTCCAACATCTTTAGCATTGTACTTTTTGATTATTGATTCCCATATTTCCTTCACATCCTTATAAGCATAATAGACATCAAGCAATTCATTAGACAGAGTACTAATGACAATGTGCCTACCAAACCTTATTAGCATGAATCCATAATTTGAATTACTTAAAGGAGATGTTAAATGGTTTGGGGTCTGTGATTACAAATGCCACTCTATACATGTCCAGTACAAAAAAGACTTGCTCCTGCCACCTTCAGAAATTATCTCCATTGAAGACTTCAATTTTTGAGATGTCAGGCAATGGCTTTGAAAATGAGATAGTAGGTAGAGCTGGAAGGGAAACAGTAAAACTAGTAACACCATTAGCAATTCTAGCAGCATATCATCGACAGTAACAGTAACGGAACTAGCACAATAGTTGTAGCATCCATAATTATCCTAAAGATTATTGAGAAAATAATTAATTTAAAATAGACATAAAAACTATAGCTTGAGGCGTGTTTAACATTATCCTTTAGGATAATTCACCAACATAGGAGTGTATCTCCCATGATTCAACAAGCTCTTATAATTAAATAGGAGACAGGAGCAGTAGAAAATAAAAAGAAAAAAACCTAGCAGAGAAAGAGAGAATTGTAATTTTTGTGTCTTTACAAATGCTGTGTAAAGGAGGTATTTATGGCCACATACCAAATGGCTAATTGCAAAAATAGTAGAGCTGAAAATCTGGAGGAATAAATAAAAATTAGACAAGTGGATATAAGATTTAAATTTAATTTAATTTTGAAAAAATTTAATTTAATTTTGAAAAAAATTAAATCAAACTCAGATGCAAACTATCTGCATGGGTTGGGCTCTCACATCTTGCATGCAAGTGGAAAATCCATCAATTTTCACTTAACTCAGGCTTATGTCGTGATGCTTGTTTGCTCAAGCCTATCCCTCTATTTTGTTGTTAGCCCAATAAAGAAAGTTTATAAACTACACATCCAATATGGGATAATAATCCTTTTGAAATACTTCATTGTTTTACAACAATACTTCTCTCTCCTTTTTGACTTTTTGCTGCTATAATAATGCAAAACCAAAAATATCTCTTGAAGTCATGTAATTGAAATGCAAAACCAAATAGATGGAGACGCTGATGCTAAAGCTAGCATCATTGAAATGGCTTGGTCCAGCTGATCTCGTTGGAGATGTAAAAGTTTACTAGTGAATTTACTTAGCACTAGCTCCATAACTTGAAGGCCCATTCATAAGACATTCTTCTTACATGCTAAAAAATAAAACTACAAACAATTGAAGTAGATCAAGCATTGACGACAACATCAAGATCACCAGTGGTGACAATGTTGAGGTTGCACTCAATTCTATCAAGGAACATTGAGAAGAACCCTCAAGTCACTTGTACCAAATTATATCACGTAACCTTTTGATGATTTGTTTTTCAAAAGAAGACTTGGTTTTTGAAGAAATCGAAGTTATTCTTTATGGTAAGTAAGTTATTATTGTGAAATTATGATGGATAGTTTGAAGAAATGGGTTGTGTTTGTTTGGATAACCATTGGTGAATTTAATGTTGGGATTGTACTTTGTCGATATGGGTTGGATTTGATGCTTTCTGACACTAGATTTAGTTAATTAGTTTAATTCTTGGCAGTGTTTTTTAGAAATGTACTTTTTGCTTTATAATACGAGCTTTCATTTATGTTTCTATTCTTAATGTGATCTTTATTTTTCAAATTATGCTTTTGTTTTTGGAGATGAGGACTAGGTAAAGTACATTCTCCAAAATGCCCTCACTGGATGAACCAACTATATATGTAGTTACATTCTTGTCCTTAATTATTTTACGCTCAATGTACACCTCACCTATCTGTTTTTTCTTAAAAGATCCAACGACATTATGACTGACCCCTCAAACAAAAAAATCGAGCTATATGCTAAAGACATGCAAACTATAAAAAAATTTCTCTACCTCCCTAATGCCCATCACAACTTACGTGCCTTATATGGAGTCACCATATGAAAAATTTTGTATGTCTACTCCTATTATCATCTATTCACTTCTTATGTAAACCCTCTAGCTACACATGAAATCCTTAGTTCATCCAAGTCTTTTTCACTAGTAGCACAAAAGTGCACTACACTTTGATCCAATCAGATTTCATGTATTTTATATCTACATAAACCATTTAATTGCATTTTTTTTTAATTTATTCACTTAGTTGCAAAATTTTTAAGTCATGCACCTAAATAGTAAAAATTAGAAATTTATCATTACCCCAACCCCGACCCTCCCAAAAAAAAATAAAATTACGGTACGATCCTTCTAGTTTGCAAACTATAATTAGTTTGTCTCCATATTTTAGAAAACAGATTAAGATATTCTTACAATTTACTTCCGTCCAATTTTTGCAATTTTCCATTAAATACTTTATGAAATGATAAAAATTCTGTTTTTATTATAAGCACAGGGAAAGGCTAATTATATTTTTCTAACCATAAGGATCATACTGTAATTTTCTTAGTATAATATTTTAGTATTTCTCTTTTAATCTTTGTGTTTTCTCATTGACTTAACGGAAATGATCTAAAAATTGGACAGAAGGACCTAATAATATAACAGAAGCAAAATATAGAGATAAATTGATATATTAAAAAAAAAAAAGAAACGGACTAATTGTACTTCTCAAACTATTGCAATTACACCGTAATTTTCTGAAAAAAAAAAAAAAAAAAAAAAAAAAAAAAAAAAAAAAAAGCTTTTGGTTCCTGAGCCTAAATTCGGGCCAAAACCCTGGAACTTGTTAATTTAATTTTAACGCCAATCTCACTTTCTCTCCAACAATCTCCCTCCTCTTCCCTCCTCAAAAAAAAAAAAAAAAAAAAAAGCTTGGTCTGAGCCTAATTCGGGCCAAAAGCCCTGGACTTGTTAATTTCAATTTTACCGCCAATCTCACTTCTCTCCAACATCTCCCTTCTCTCCCTCCTCTTTCTCACTTATCTTTCGAGGGTTTCTTCGCCTTCTCTTCTTTTTCCATTCCATCCCCAAATCAAATCCAGACAAAAACAAAGATTATTTTCGAAATCCATCTCTCATTGCTCGAGATGACCTCTACAAGTCCTCTTCATGTCCCCGACAACGACGACGACGTATTTTCAACTCCACTCTTCAATATTTGTATTTAACTTTACATTAAAATTCACTTTTTCTCTAACTAACTATTCCTCTGTGTGTTTCTGTGTATAGGAATTCGACTGGGAAGCAGCTGTGAGAGAAATTGATGTCGCATGTCAAAGCGCCAACAACCCTTCAACTTCACTGCCTAACAATTTTGCTTCTTCTTCTTCTTCTCATTCTCGCCCTTTGAATGGCATTTATAAAAATTCTAATTTATGTTTTACTAATAAGATTGTGAAAAAGTCTGGGGCTTGTAAGCAATCTACTCTTGATATGTTTATTGGGAAAGGTTTGGGTCCTGGGCCCCGACCTGGGAATTCAATGGTTGATGATTTAAATCAGCAAGTTGGGGTTGAGGGTAATGATGATGAAAGGGCGAGCTACGTTGAAATTGATCCTGAGGCAGCTAAAACTTGGATATACCCAGGTCATATTTACAATTTCTTTATTGCTTCTTGAGTGGAATTGTGAATGAAGAATTGATTCTCTCTCTATATTTTTTGTTGGGTTTGAATTCTGTAGAGATGGCATTCAGAAAATAAATTCTAAAATTCAAATTTTTATTCTTTTTGTGTGTTTATTGGTGAATAATTGTCTAGCTTTGCTAAAAGGGTTCCTTGCTTACTGAAATACTGTGATTGTTAGTGTCTGGACAAGTAATGGATGAATTGAGGAATTAGAAATCACCTGTGACTTTTATTTATTCGTAAACAATTATTTTAAATTTAAGAAAATTAAATGTAAGTTTTGACCATCACTTTCTCTCTAATTTTCTCCTTGATGTGATTGCTTGGTGGTTTAGTTGGTATGGGATGGATGTTTACATTGCTAGAAAGGATAGAAAAACAAATCTTAAAACCTTAATATTTTATGCTATTTATGTTTGCACATTTTCATTATTTTGTGAATAATACGCTTCTTTAGTTTGTGCCAGGAAACTTTTTGTATGTGCTTTACTTTTGATCTTATGAACTGAAACTTGTGATTATAATGTATAGTAGAGTTGCCTTTTTTTATTAATTTTTTCTTTTTTCTCATAAGGAATCACTTTAAACAACATGACAATAGACTCACCCTTCTCCACTTCTCTATGTATTTCCATGTTGCAGTTAACGTTCCACTGCGTGATTATCAATTGGCCATGACCAAGACAGCACTGTTTTCAAATACATTGGTGGCATTACCAACAGGGCTTGGAAAGACACTTATTGCTGCAGTTGTTATGTATAACTATTTCCGATGGTTTCCATATGGTAAGATAGGAGAACTATATATGTCCTGCTCTCAACTTCTTCATGATTGCAAGTTGTATTCTGTTATTTTCCATTAGTAGATCATATAAACACGTTTTGTTTATATATTATGGTTTTATCATATTAAGGAAAATCAATATAGTACACGTATTCCTAATTAGTTTATGATTTGTATTCCTAAATAGCTAGGTAGCGTAGGAATTCCTTTTATATAGACCTATGTAATCAATTGATGAGATACAAGAAATACAACTACAATATTTTTCTCTTAACATAGCACAAAACCCAGAAGCTCATCTTTTGCTCTTGAAGAGAGTGAGAGTAAGAAAAGGATATGAAATTGCTAAAACGCAACTCTAATAGCAATCTTTAGCAATTATTCTCTAGAACCAAGTAAAGAATAGTGGAAGGAAGGAATCTCTTAGAAAACAGAATAATATGAGGATAGCTGAACAAGTTAATCTAAAACAGTTAATGTCTAATTGTCTGAGCCACTTGAAATTTCAAAATTAACAGGTGAGCTAGATTAGTTCTGCATTTCTGAATTATTTTTTTGAGTAGTTCTTAATTTCTTTCCTTGTAGGTACTCTAGTATGCATCTACATAAGGTATGAATGGCTCTAGGATATGTTCAAGTTCATTTGCTTGTTTATTTGTCTTGTGAGTTTAGATTGAAGAATTGATTTTGGTCCAGTTTTATGTCAGCCTCAATGTTCTTGTATCTTTCTTTGTGGTTTGTTCAAGTTTGATAGGTTTATCTGGTTTGTCCATTGCAGGGAAAATAGTCTTTGCTGCTCCATCTCGACCGCTTGTAATGCAACAAATAGAAGCTTGTCATAATATTGTGGGAATACCACAAGTAAGATGCTAATTTTGCTTACAAACAGAATGGTTTCTCACACATTAGTTCTGATTGGGAGCTTTACTTTATCACAATTATTTATAAACTGATTGCAGGAATGGACAATTGATATGACAGGTCAGCTAAGTCCTACAAAAAGGGCATGCTTTTGGAAAACGAAACGAGTGTTCTTTGTTACTCCACAAGTTCTTGAGAAGGATATTCAATCTGGTAGTTCTCTAAGTTATGCTTTAATATCCTTACTAAAAGCAAAAGCATTGCGCTGCATTATATTATGCAAGAAGTTTGTAGACCTAAAATATTCTTTGAATTTTTCCCATGGAGCAACTTATTGCAGGCACATGTTTGGTAAGATACCTGGTGTGTTTGGTCATTGATGAGGCTCATCGTGCATTAGGAAATTATTCTTACTGTGTGGCAGTTCGTGAGGTTTGTTGTTATGTTTACCATCTAGTTCTTAGTTGTATTAGCAAAAATTGGTTGTGATGCTAATGATTCCAATTCCTCCAATTTGTAGTTGATGGCAGTGCCAGTGCAGTTAAGAATATTAGCTTTGACTGCAACACCTGGATGTAAGTGGCACTTATTTTAATTTGATTCTGCTTCTGCAAAAAGATTTTCCATATTGGTTTAAATCCTTGTGCTAAATCCTCTTTGTGCAGCAAAGCAACAGGCCATCCAGCATATTATTGATAATTTACATATCTCAACACTTGAATATCGCAATGAGGATGATCCTGATGTCAGCCCATATGTTCATAACAGAAAGATTGAAATGATTGAGGTATATAATAGTTCATAAATCCAAAATTTGCTTTTGACCCAAGTATATTAATAAAGTTAATATCTTCCAGGTTGCACTGGGGAAAGATGCTGTTGATGTAAATAAACAGCTATTGGAGGTGATACGTCCATATGTGGCTAGACTCTCTGCAATTGGACTTCTCCATAATAGAGATTATAAGACTGTATGGTTCTCTAAATTATAAATTTTCCTCCAACTTTCCTAGCTCTAGTGGATTGATGTGCCTCTTTTGTTCATTATTCCATCAGTTCTCATGCCATAAAATGTTTGTCTGAATGTACATGCTGAATAATATTGGCATGTCTTATTAGAAGTGCTTAATACATTGTAGTCAGGGAAGTTCTATGAAATAATTGTACTCACTTCCTGTACTCGACAATTTGTAACATTTCACTGTTCCAAATCTAACCACCAATGATGCTGTTCTTTTGACAACTTTTGTTGCTTCCAAGTTGCAGTGAGGATGCCTATATTTGTTCTCTCATGCGGCTCTTATCCAATATCTGCTATTTTCTCGTGCAAACCATCAGATTCTATCTGGCTTCCTTACTTTCCCTATTGACATATGACAGTTCAGCCCTCCTGATTTACTTAATTCGAGGGATAAATTTCGTCGAGCACCTCCACCAGAACTTCCCCAGAACAAATATGGAGAAATTGAAGCTTATTTTGCAGGTCTTATTACTCTTTATCACATTCGTAAGCTACTTTCAAGTCATGGAATAAGGCCAGCATATGAGATGCTGGAAGAAAAGCTGAAACAAGGGTATTTCCAGTGCATTCTCTACTTACATAATGCTTTGACCAATTAAGCAATAGGTCTCAGGATTACTTTGACTTCTGCTTATTTAAGTGATCAGATGTAATTTGTTTTATATCAAACTCTTTCATTGCAGGATCATAGAAATCTAGTAAATGGTAGCCCTTACACGTTAATGTGGCCTAAATATCCATTTGCTTTCAAATGTATTTAGCCTTTTCAGTGAAGCATCAAAGCTTGGTTTTTAGGGTGGCTGTAATTCTTTTCTCACTTGGAACTAGATAAGCTCAATGAAATAGGACCCACTAGTAAAAGATGTTTTATAATAACAATTGAGATACTTAATGTTTTTGTAAAAGAAAAAAAAGCTGGACCTTCCACTGATTAATTTTAGATCTCTTTGCATAGTTAGTTTGTAACAAATTGAGACAGGAATTTGATTTGATCAAATGAATTTCTCTGCGTGCTGCTTGAGTTTAAAAATTAAACCATCTTGTATGAACAGCATTTAATTTCATGTATTTGGTATTGAAGGTCAAATTTTCGTTTATTTACTGCTTATCAAATGATCTCAAGCTGTTTAAACTTGATTGTTGCAGGCCATTTGCAAGACTGATGACTAGAAATGAAGACATTAGAAAAGTAAAGCTGTCAATGCAGCAAAGCTTGTCTCATGGTGCACCTAGTCCCAAATTGTCAAAAATGTTGGAAGTACTGGTGGACCATTTCAGTAAGTGGCATGTCATCTTTCTTTTACATCAAAGAATAGTGATCTGAACAATATCACAAATTCTTTTGACCTTCAGTTTAAGTTTAACCATGTTAAGTTTCGTAGCAAAACAAGGAATGAGTTGACGTGGATGTTAATGTGAAAATATGTACAAATGTGGAAGAAGTGGAATTGAAAATATTTATTCATCGCCATTGAAAAGGAGTTGTAGAGGTCATTTTGAGAAACAAGATGCTGATGCCCAGGACAAGATTGCAATTGCACTCTGAAGCAATCTCTGAAACTACAGAAAAATAAAAAATTAAAAAAAAAATTCTCCTAAAGTGAGAGTCAACAAAGCTGAAAACATTACCTCAGCCCTATAACTGGGAAGGGACTTCTGAATGAGAAACTATCCAGATTGTATCTAGAGAATAATTGTAAACCTATTAATCTTTAATCTTCCTTTTCCTTAGTTTATTTTTCTGGAACTTGCTAACAATATGAAAATCTTAGTGCTTTTAAATTTTTAATACCAAATGTTGAAGGAATGTGGTCATAAACCAAAATCCTGGTGATCGGAGAATTTGACATCTCATTTTCTTTTATCTGTCTTGAGAGTTCTGTTATCTGCTGGTGAATGTAATAGCTAAACATGTTGTTGCAGAAACAAAGGATCCCCAGAACTCAAGGGTGATAATTTTCTCCAATTTTAGAGGAAGTGTAAGGTAGGAAAAGAATTTTACAAGTTCATTTCATTATAAGTTTATCCTACACTTGCTGGAAAGAGCTTTATTTGTATAACTATGCTGATATTCAGGGATATAATGAATGCACTAACAAACATTGGTGATATAGTTAAAGCAACTGAATTCATTGGTCAAAGCTCAGGTTAGCAGTTCCGTTCTTTACTTTCTGTCTGCAATTGAGTTTATTCCTTCCAAAGATGAACTGTTACTTTTTATTTTCCTCCTTTCTCATCCAGAAGTTTGAAGGCATTGTTGTGCAATTCTTTTTTCTGACTTACATAGTACTGGATTCTAAATTTCTTACAGGAAAAGCATTGAAAGGCCAGTCCCAAAAAGTTCAACAGGCTGTTTTGGAGGTACCTACATTATTTTTATATTGTTCTCTAGGCTCCTAGCTTTTACGTACTTATTTTCCAACAGAAATTTCGAGCTGGCAAATACAATGTTATTGTTGCCACATCAATTGGTGAAGAAGGCTTGGATATCATGGAGGTTGATCTTGTAATATGTTTTGATGCCAATGTCTCACCACTAAGAATGATTCAGCGCATGGGGAGAACTGGAAGAAAGCATGATGGACGAGTTGATATCCTTTTTTCATTTGGTTAATGCATTTTATGACATAGGTTGCTGATGACATCACCTTATTCCATTCCCTGAAAAAACTATTATGGTATCATACTTTCTTACTTACAGCTTAGCCGAGTAGTTCCTTGACAAGGGTTCACTAGTTTTAGCTTGCGAAGGATCTGAGTTGAAGGGTTATATGCGGAAGCAAGCAAACAGCAGGGCCATTAAGAAACACATGCATAATGGGGGGATAAATAGTTTCAATTTCCATCCTAGCCCAAGGATGGTGAGATCTATGAGAAGTTTTCTGCTTGTCTCTCTCATTCTTAACCACATTGACCTTTCTGACTATGTATTTTTTTTCTTCCTTCCAGATTCCGCATATTTTTAAACCAGAAGTCCAATTTGTCAAGCTATCAATTGAACAGTACATTCCTCGTGGAAAGAAAGTGAAAGATGACACTGCCATTCAGACACCGGTTTTTAGAACCAAACTAAATGGTGAAGAGGCGGCTTTAATTACCAAGTACTTCAAGCTCACTGGTGAACAATCTTGGAGGCCATCTCTTATTGCCTTTCCTCATTTCCAGGCATTTCCCTCTAGAGTGCATAAAGTGATGCATTCTTATAGAACAAATATGCTGATAGATACAATGCAATATTTGCAAAATCTATCATTTTCTACTAAGGGCAGAGCTTTCTTCATTGAGGTTTGCTTACATTTTGAGTGCTGGGCATTTTTCAACCAGAATATATTATATTTGCTTACAAGTTGTCTACTGGATGTAGGATGAAATCTCTTCAGGTAAGTGCTTGGGAGTTGACGCATTTGAAAAAGAGCATATTGATAAAGAAGGTACTTCAATCTTCTACAGATGCAAATATGTTTGTCAAAAGGAAAGGTTGCACATGGGTTTTATATAGCATAAACCAAATTAATAGTGAGAAATTAAAAATAAAGAATTCTACTTGAAAATTCCAAAACTCTAATGTGACATGGGAAGTCACCACTCCTTGAGTCACCTGCCCCTGATAATTCCATTTCTGGCATCCGCACACTTGTGTTTCTATTTCCTGACTTGATGTGGGATTTCTTTGTGCTGGTCTCTGATTGCTCTAATTCTTCTCGGTTTCTTTTCTTTTATTCCCCAGTGTTCCTGCTTTTTACTTAGACAATAATACTCTGCGCCTTTTTTATCTGTTTCACTATTCTTTCTTTTTTTGTAGTTGTTCTTACCCTGAACAACCTTTTTTAGTTGTTAAACTCTTGACTTGACTTTGATTATTTGAGAATTATTAACTTTTGACACTTTTGTTAATTTCTTTAACTTGTTATGAAGATTAAGTGTTAATTTGGTTAGATAGAGTAAATATTATGAATTTGTTATGATTGTTAAGTGTTAATTTGGTCAGATGAGTTCCAGTCCTTGGATTTGTTTATTCCAATGTTACATTTTTTATGGAGAGAAATCAAGTATTACTTCTCAATTTTCTTTGAAATATTTCTTCGCCTCACCTCTCTCAGGCGTGTATCTGCGCCTTGCGCCTAGGCTTCACGACTCCTTTACACCTTAGTGCGCCTTGCGCCTTTAATAACTATGCTTAGTTAGCATTCAAAATATGTTCTTAGTACGTGCACCCACTAGTATTTCTATGTTTATTCCCTTTGCCATAGATGTATAAATATTCAAATTTCCAGCTCATAAGGTTTTTCAAATTCTTCTTTCTAAACTAGAAACTTGCAACATTATTTTTTCAAAGTGCATGGTAAAATTTAACATTGAAATTCTGAAGGAATAAGCAAAAGGGATTATTTTATTTTTCACTAATCCACTCATTTAGTTTCTCATTTCCTTTTATCATATCTTGCAGTTGTACAATCCACACAAATATTTACTAATATTTTCAAAACTTATAATTCTCAAGGTTGTTTTTTCATAGAGAAGAAAATTCTTGATCGGAACTAATGCTAAAGTCTACAGGCCACATTTTGTTCTGTGCATATGTATTTCAGTTTAGTGCATCTTTTAAGTTCTTAAACTGCTGTTGCAGATCCACTAAGCGATGGTTCTCCTGCCACCAAGTCACTTAAAAAAGTAACAGATTATGAATTATCAGCAACAGATTGTGACGTATCACCTAGGAAGACTGAGTTGCATAATGTGATGGATTTCCACGAAGAAAGTCCTCCAGCCCACTCCTATCTTTTTGGTTCAGATTTTGTGTCTGTAAATGCTCTTGGAAATGTCATAATTTTGTCTGTCCCTGTACTTCCAATGAGAGAGGCATTGCATTCCAAGTGTACGAATGCCAGCACTACACTGCCACTTGATTGTTTGGAGAAAAATTCTCATATGAGGACTCCGTGTAAAGACTCCAAGGAAGTAACTGTGGAAGGAAAGTCCAGCGCAGACCTAATACCATCTTGGATGCAATGTGAAACAAATGTCACTTTGGCAATACCCAAGTCTAATGTCCAGCAAGATAAAATACTGGATCGAGTTGAAACAGCTCCTGAGACTCCAGGATTGAAGAAAAGACTTTCAAATGAAAGAGATTGTGCTGATGAAGCACTTGATCGCTTGGAAATCAATGGACCATCCTCACAACACGTTGAATACAATGATAATGCTGAGCTGAGTCCTAGGCTAACTAATATGATCCAAAGTGGTATTGTTCCAGAATCTCCAATCAATGATATTGGTCAGTTTCTATATCTATATCTATATATAAGTTCATTGATATGAAAACTTTTGCTTACCTTTAATTGTTGCATAGGATTAATTAACTTATGCAAAATATTCAGGACTTTTGAATGGTTACATGATTTTTTTTTTTTTTTTTTTTTTTTTTTTTTTTGTTGTTACAGATAGCTTCAGCATTGAAATTTGGAGTTGAGCTGCTTGAAAGTCTCCTATTCCTGGCCAAAATGAATTTTTTTTTTTTTTTTTTTGTTACAGATGCTTCAGCCATGAAATTGGATGTTGAGCTGCTTCCAAAGTCTCCTATTCCTGGCAAAAATGAAACGGCTATCAATGTAAAAGGCCGTCAAAGAACTTTGCTGGCTTCTATTAATAATGAAATTCAAACTCCTATACTCACAGAGAACAATCCAGCTGCTGAGGAAACCAATACTCCTTTGGTGAATCCCACTGAAAATAGTTGTAGCAAAGATTGGCTTATTAGCTCTGGAGACAAGTCGGAAACTGTAGAACAAGTAAGAAAGCTCAAAAGATTGCGGAAAATTGGAGATATGGGGAGAAATAGGAATCCAGGAGGCAACAAAGAAATATCATTAGCCCTTGTAGCAAACCTTGATAGATCTTTTTCCAATATCATACCTGACCAAATTAAGCATGGTAAAGGTAACTTAAATCCATGCATAGTTGTCCATTCTAGCATGGAACTTTTCTCTCTTTTGATCAGTTTTATTAGTTATTTGTGCCTAATGGGAAGCCTGTATTAGGTATAGATTTACAGTATGCAGTATGTTTGGCAATCAAACTTTGTACTATTATGCATAATTCACTATCTCTTGTGTTCAGGTAAAAGGAAGCAAACTGGCAATATCTTCATTGAGGAGGAAGCAGAGTAAGTCATGTTTGGATGATCAGTTTCACGCTGCCAAAATTGATTTTTACTTGTTTTTCCTATTATCAACTTGTATATTTTGGATAATATGATATTTGCATCCTGTCATATAAATAATGTATTGCAACAAATTGTTCCGCGAAACTTACAAGAAAGCTATATTTTCTCAATTTATTTCATGCCAAGTTTTCTGAATTTGTATGCTCAGGGTTTCGTCTGATGCTGAAATATCTGTTGATGAGGAAGATGACAAAAGCGACAGTTCGTATGATGATAGTTTCATAGATGACAGGACAAACCCTACAGCTGCAAGCACTCAGGCAGAAACTTGTAGAGCTGACATGATGGGAGTTTACAGGTCTCTCTCTCTCTCTCTCTCTCTCTCTCTCTCGTATGCTTGTGTACCTACAGTATGTTGGAATCCTCATTGACGGAAGCCTGCTTCCTTTTGGTAACCATTAAGGGGAAAGATTTCTGTGCAAATTACCATCACAGTGCATAATCTTATTTTGTATGTACATAATTATAATTTAATAAAAGAATAATGTGATCAAGTTCGAGCAAAGATGCCAATGCTGATGTCCGTTGTTGTTCCATTGTTCATGATTTGGACTTCCTTGCTGTTAAACAAAAACTCAAACGTTCGGTTACTTTCTGTAAACATCCATTTACTTCCTTTTTAACTACTGAGCAGTCTACAGGAATCTTGGTCCATGCATAACTTTTAGGTCTCTTCTTCGTGTCTTCAGAAGTCATCATCTTGTCAAATAACCATCTGTATCTTTTGAATTCATTTTTGAGCCTTCAGTTGCGGTGAAGTTGCAGGTTATATAAACTAACTAATTTCATGCAACAGGCGTTCTTTGCTCAGCCAATCACCAATGGAGAGGGAATCAAGTTCTTATATTACTGCTACTCCTGATTGTGGGACGTCAATGAGCAGAATGAATGAAAGCAAAAGCTCTTCAGTCAAGACATTATATTCTTTCCAGACCCCTTACATAGATTCTTCAAATAAGTTTGCTGGGAGAGATTCAGGTTCTTTTCAGATGGACCTGGACAGGATGTCAGAAGCAAAGCCCCATATAACCACTAATTTCCTGAGGGAAAAGGAAACAATGATGGAGAGTAGGAAAAGAAAATTAAGTTTTTGCATGACCGGGTCTATACCTGCAATCAACCTAGAACAAGAATTCTCTTTGCAATCAGATGCTGCCAGAAAAGAATCATTCCAGCAGGATCCTGCAGAAAACCTTGATGCTAATGGTGAAATGTTTCATGATGATCAATTCTTTGCAAATCTTGATCTTGATGCTGTGGAGGCACAAGCTACCATGCTTCTCAAACACAAATCTGAATCTTCAGTACAGAATCAGGATGTAGTTCCAAAACTTAGCGAGCAAAATTTTGACCTTCAGAGTTCTCCAACATTTGATCTCGGGATAGGGTAATTGATGGAAAATCTCTACCGTTTCTTCCCTGAAAAGTCCTTTTTGAAGCATTAGAATTAAAAAAAAAAAATCAATTGTGCACAGGGTTTTAAGATTTATGATAACATATTTTTTGTTAGAGAAAATAGGATAGGCACATTACTGCGAAGCTAATATTTATATTGTAAATTATGTACTAGTTGAAAGCAATTGAAAAGATTATGTAAAGCCTGATATAGGAAGAAAGGCTGAAAAGAACTGTACATAAACATTATACCAGAATTGACATGTTCACAAAAGCATTTTGATGCAGAATATTCAGCTATGGAGCTCAGAATTACTATGTTCATAGGGATTTATAAGTGGGATTTTCACTGAGATGATAAAAGGTGGATGCAACATACTCATTAGAGTATTATTTATCCTTTGTTTTGAATGAATTAAACCCAGACCTATGCCAACTATACAATCTAGCTTTTTAAAATTGTTATAATAATAAGAATAAATGAATTTTCAATTTTAAATTTATTTCAAACGTGAAAATTTTTTTTCATACTAACTTTATTTTAGAAGATATAAAAAAGAAAAAGTAATTCGATATTATTTGCAGCAAGGTCTTGCCAGTTTTACTGAGTTGTTTTCACCCCAACACTAACAATGATCGATGTTCTAACTTTTGAATGTTGTGGTCAAAAAAGAAAGAAGAAAACATCATCGATGAATATTAGTAACAGAACATTTTGTGACGACAACTGAAAAGACACTGATCACAAAAGTCCTTTTTGTCCACCCAAAAGGAAAAACAAAGTACTTATTTAACAATATTCCTCTCTTAACCATGTCACTTTTTAAATAATACGGGAAATAGATTACTATAAATATTCAATAGTTAAAATATTTGTCTATAATCAATTAAATGATTGATAGAATTAGAATAAGATGGAATATGACAAACGTTAGAACAACTTGTGCTTGCTCTGACCTACCGAACCTTCTCATAGATGATGCCTTCTGGAAAGCTGTTGCTGGGTTACCATTTATAATTTTTTATTCGAAACCCTAAATTGAGTTAAGATTAAAATGGAGTGCAATTGTACATACCACAAAATTCAGGATATTTTTTATTATTAAGCCCTTCCATTCCTTGATGTTTTCTGCTGAATTATCTTTATCTTTTGTACCATTATTTAAAAAAAAATAAAAAAATAAAAAGCAAAAGCAAGCATTGAAACTTCACTACTATACCTTCAAATCTCAACCCTTTCAGCAGAAATCAAGCTTCAACAACCAAACATTGCACTATTACCAAAGGATTAAGCCATACACAGCATCTCTACATCTCTAAGGCCTAGGGGGTTAACATTTTTACATAACTAGATACATCACCGTAGATGCATCACACAAAAAGACGGTTTTACAGACCTGTAGTTGGAAAAGAAGGCTGCAAAGCAATCACTGACCAGACATAAATGACATTGCTCGTCTAAACTCCAAAGATTTGAGAGCAGACTGAGGGAAGTGCTTTTCATTTGGTAAAAACAATCCACCTTCACGAGGCAGCAAGATCTGTCGGTTGCCGAGAAGACCACTGTCTCCAGCTTGTGAAGATGAAACTTCTTTCCTGTTCTTCACATATTTAAAGAATTCCGCAACTTGGCGTGCATAGCTTTTGCAAAGGAGATTGTTGAACAAATTAGTTCAGTGGAACACACAAGCTTAGAAATCTTGCATAATGACAACTTTCTGCACTAGCAGCACATAGATGTTGCGCATAATAAAACCAACACCAATAAGCAGATAGTTCACCCAAGTTGATACGTGCATAATTTTTCCAAAGACACTAATCAGATGCTAGAAATATATTCAGAAAATCAACTTTCACATTCACATTTTAATAACCATTTCCAATTAATGCCCATTTGAGACAGGAGATGAATTATGTACATTGTATCCATCTATGTTTTACATAATGTAACATGTTGAGTTTTATAAATTGGTTAATGAGTATGAAAATTTTGCAAACAGAAAGTAACATATGCACTTAGAACTCTATCCCAGTATAAACAAAATAACAATAATAATAAGTATCAAATGGCAGGAGTGTGTAAGCACAAATTGAACCAATGAATATGCATAATTTAACAGCAAGTATGACAACAGCATAATAAACATGAACCAAAGGAGAATTTAATATTATATTACTGCTTATAAGAGAAGCAATTTATATGAGGAGTTGCTATCTTACTGTTCCTTAGCTTCAATATCTCTGCTAAAATCAATATTGGCTTCACAGTCAAGAACCAAAGCAGGCACCTGATCACATAACCATAGAAAAGTAAGCCAATATCCATTGTAATTATGTGAACCTTTACACGAAAAGATAGATATATTACCTTTTGAATACTTGAATGCATATGATCACCTTCCAAATTAAACACCCGATCTCTTATGTCAGGATGCAAAGATTTATCCATTTGTTCTGGTAGCTTACTGACTGATAATACTCCATGATGTCCACTTTGGAAAGGGAAAAGCCAGCTTTCATGCTTTTCATGCAAGTCACGGAGATAATCTAGGGAGACACCGCCCTCTTCTGCTCTCCTTCGCAGCTTCATTCTCTGATGGCAAGTATCAGGGCTAGCTCTAAGATAGATAAAGCCATCAGGAATAAGCCCAGGTAAAACTGAGACAACTGGGTCAAACCATGAGTCATAAATGCTGATCTCCATCTCATTCATCCACTTTGCTTCATGCACAGCTCGTACAAAGACCTTTATCAAGTAAAATGAGATTAAAAAGCATCAGCCTTGAAACCCTTAAACCAGGCTTTTGTTTCTCTCGGATGGGATGAACCAATGAGAAAGAACTGCAAGGTTCCGAATCCACGTTGGACATTAAACTTCAAATATCTTCAAACAGAAGGTAAAACCAAGGTTTGCATTGACCCTCAAGATTAAGATGAAATGCACAAAATTTAAAAAATTTGAACAACTCCAAAATGAATTATAATCAGAAATCACCCATTAAATTGCAGGGACTTACCATTCTATCACTAAAAACACTCCTCTCCATCAGCCTGAGGGGCTTCACTCCACCAGATGACTCTCTCTCCTGCATCACTCTCGTGACAAAGACATAATTCTGAAAGGTATAGGCATACCTATGTGGCTCAGCATAGAAAGCATCAAGTATATTAAAGTGGTCAGGTCCAATATCCTGCCACTTATCAATGGGTTCTGGCACCACTTCGACAAGATCTCGAAGCTCAATTGTATCACGAACTATTCTCTGAAGAAATGTTGTTTTTCCAACACTAATATTTCCCTCAACACAAAATGTGATTCGCTTCTTTGCTGCAGCTTTCACATCAATGTCTACATCCTTTAACTCTTCATCCACACTCTCCTTAATAAAAGCTGTTATGCTCTCAGCATGATTTCTATGAATGATTCCCACCGAACTCTGTAAATACTCGACCATTGTGTCATTGGACTTCCCAAGAAACTGCAAAATTATGAACAATAATCCTTGTAAGTATACAATCAACGAAACCAAACAATTACCTGGACTCCTTTTCTCGAGTTAGTTATCTGAGTTTTAATGAATGAAAAAAATTTGAGCATTAGTGGCAACTGGAAAACCCAGTCACTATGTTACAAACGTAAAAAATAACATTCTCAAAATGATCTGTTGAAATAACTATAAATTTCTAGATTCTACCAAGTAAACACAGCACTGATAGAGCTAGTTAATATCTGTCAGTGCCAAACTCCATACGCTGAATAATATAATAATACATAAGAACAATCTGATGTCAAAGATGGTTGGGTAAGATGATCTAAGCAAATTTAAAAACAAAATGGGTCTGATATCAACAAAACAAAATATTAGTATGGCAGCAGTCCATTCACATGCAACATTACTTCAAAAAATATTTTAGCACATTAAAAAGAATAACAGAACATCACCTTGTCCTTATAAAACTGCTTAAGCTCAGCCATTTCTCGGAAACCTTTCTCCATTAGTTTCCTCAAATTCTTAGGCCCCACTCCTGGAATTGTCAACAAATCAGCGTTCCCCACTACCTCGCTCGACCCCTTATGCCGCCTGTTCATCCTTGCTGCCTTCTCCTCCGAGAAACCCTTTTCCCCTTTATCTACTTTCTCCTCATCTCCTCCATCAGAACTCTTCAATCCTTCAACAGCCGACTTTGTTGCCTCAACCGTAACGGGTCCCTCCGAACCGGCAGCAGTACGGAACCACGTGGGCCGGGCCAAAACCCAGGACTGAAAAGGAGCCGCAGTGGTTCTGTTCTCACCTGAACAGCGGCAAACACTGTAATTAGCTGAACAAATACCAGAAGTGATTGTGGGTTTGATGGTGGGTTTTCTGGCCAAACAGGCGGCAATAGATGAGCCACCGTTGATAGCCGTGGCTGTCGGCATTGAAAGAGAGGAATAGGGCTTTAGAGACAGAGAGACACAAGGGGTTATAGAAAATGAAGAGCTAGAACACAAATAGTCAGTGGGTTTATTTCTAGAAGCCAAAGAAAGAAAACGGGTACTAACAGAAGTGCAAAGGAGGGGGCTTGAAGGGTTTTTCTGCAACAACTTCTGCATAACTATAAAGCATTTCACTGCCTATTTCCCTGGTGCAAAGAGGGTTTTGAAAAATGAAGGGATAGAGAAACAAATGGAGGAGGCGGGAAGGTTACGGATAGATATCTCTTTGCCTAAAACAGATAAAAGGGTTTTGAAATTTAGGGTTTTCTTTATTTTCTTATTTTTTTTTTTTAAATATTTTGGGTTTATAAGGTTTTTGTCTGGAGTGATTTAAAGGTGGTGGACTGTGTCGCGGATTTGGGAAGAAGAGCTTGTTTCGTTATAGAAGGAGAAGCCAAAGAAATAAAGAGGCATTTCCTTGGAATACCAACTGTGACAAAGATTTTTCAACGGACCTGTAAAATTATATAGTGTCAGTACATTTGATTTGGTATAATAATACATAGTGAATACACCATTGTATACCAAATGATCCCCCCCCCCCCCCTAGTGTCAGTCATTTGATTTGGGTATAATAATCATAGTGAATACCACCATTGTATACCAAATGATCCCCCCCCCCCCCCAGCTAGCTTAGTAGGAAGGGTATGCCCAAGATCTCTGGGTCTTGATGATGGGCTTTAAAAAAAAAAAAAAACGAATTCACCTTTGCATGGTTTGTCTTATGCCATGCGATGAGAATAGTGATTAAGGGCCGTCTGATTTTTATACTTCATATATTTTCTTTGAGATTTTTGTGTGAATTAATTAAATTATTTTCCAGAACAAGTTTTTGGTCCTAATTCACGAAATTAAGCTTTGGTATTGGACTCAAATTAACGCATCATCATCAGGAATCAAACAATTTACTTTTGCTTTCTTTTTCAGGGGCCAAATGTGTCGCGACCCATTTCCATGGACCGGACCGGCATGGACCGGACCGGCACTAGGACCTGGGTAGACTTAAGACCCCCAAAACCCGTAGTAAGCCTGTAATACTTCAAATTCGCATTCTATTCACAATTGTGGATTCAGGCCCAATAATTTATTTCTCAAATACATCCAAGTACAATCCATATAATAAATGTCTATACTCTATTTATTTATTTACAATCCATTTGGAATACAATTGCGAAACTCTACCTGTACATTTACATCATTATTTTCTCATTAACAGTCTTCTATAATTAATGTTTCGACTCCATTGGACTTTCTTCTATTACCTGAAAAAAAATAGGTAGGCAGGGGTGAGCATCAAACTCAATGAGTAGGGTTAGATAACCCTCTCACCCCACACAATCACACAGATGCTAAAATATTTTTATCTGATCACCGATTTAGTATATGATCATGCACACAAATGACAATACAACAGCAATAACAATTATTATACCTTCATATAATTCACATCACGTGGAAATTAGTCAGTGTGGAGGGCACCGAAAACCCCGATGAGCCGTCCTCCACATGCTCATCCACTCACGTGGTCACCAGGGAGCCGATCCCCCATTACTGGCACAAGTGTCTAAATCCTCACTTGACCAGCTCTCTCATCTGTTTTTCCATTCTCTTTTTTTTTTTTTTTTTTTATTTTTAACCAATTGGAGGCAACCGCAGTGGTCTTCCATTCCAATCTAGATCATCAGGCGCTCACAACAGGGAGGCCACCCTGTGGGCTCCGATCAAATCTGATTGTCCGGTGCGCAATTGACGAGAAAGCCAAGCCTTATGGTAACGGTAACGGGAACGGTAGTGCACACGGGAGGCGCCAATCTCCCATGTTACCCGGCTAACGTAATGGATAACATATAACGGTACGGTATATAACAATACGGTAATCAGGATCCATAATTAACGGTAACGAGGATCCATATAACGGTAACGGTCTCACAAACCCATGGTGACCCACTTCATCCCAATTCCACACAAACAAGGCACAACAATATCACATCACAAGTGATCAAGCAATATTTAATATCAACAAATAGTGCATCACAATATGGCAATAATGCACGATAACATTTAGCCGTGAATGCATGAATGTAGGCGGATGAGGCAAATTATCTAACACTACTCACAGTTCTTTATTGTCTTCTAAAGGGGACTGTCTTTCTAACCACATGATTCCAGCCTTTGTCCTTGCATTTCAAAATTTTATAAACCTCTAAAACAAACAATGAAATTTTAAGTAAGAATTTTAAATTTGAAGATTCTATTTTATATTCGTTTACTGGTTTTGGTTACCAGTCATTTAATTCACTTATTAATTTAAACTATATATATTTATAGATATATATTGATTTATAGATATATATTGGGTTTCCTTATTTATTTATCACTCTAATAATCTTATTCTATATTTTTAATTTCTATAAATAATTTAATCTCTATAAGTAATGTAATTGCTATAATTAATTTTATTTTCTACCGAAATTTCGTCAGCACTTCCTCTAAAATTTAACTATCCAACAATCAACTCATTCAATTATTTGTCAGGCTCTCACAGCCCATCTATCGGGCAATTAATCCAGTCAATTATTCCCATCCTCCATATTCTCCATATCAATAGTAATTCATAAATTTTTCTTTAATTACTCAAATAATAATTTCTGAATAATTTATATATTAGTCGAATTAATCAAGTAATCTAATTAATCAATAATTCAATACCAAATTTTTAATTTAAATTAGTTAGCCCAAAATAAATTTAACTAAGACTACTAAAATTAATTGACCAACATTCACTACAAATAATTAATTTCTGAGAATTAGCAAAAATTGATTTTACCCAAATATAATTTTTTGTCGAATTTGGCTAGATCGGGGATTTACGCGTGCCGAATCGGAGCTATGTGCGCTGGAAGTGCAAGCAGATGGCCGGATCCGACTGGCAGTGGCAGAGAGGCGGCGGCGACAGATCGAACCTGTCGGAGGCGCGCTGGAGCGACGACAGTGGCAGCGGCGGGCTGTGGCATTACTGCAGAAGGCTGGCGGCGGCATGACTAGCTGGAGATCGTGCTGCTGCTGTGCGCTGTGCGATCTGGTAGAGGGCGGAGCGCCGCTGCTAGCGTGAAGCGACGAGGAGCGGCAGAGGAGTAGTGCTGGCGCGCGACGGCTCTGCTCGGGCTGGTGGAGGCGCGATCCTCTTCTGCCAGCAGTGGAGTCACAGGCGCAGGGAAGAAAAAGAAAGAAAAGAAAGTAAAGAAAGAAAGAAGAAGAAGAAGAAGAAGAAGAAGAAAGGAGGAGGAGGAGGTGGTGGCGCGGTGGTGCTGCGTCTGGTGGTATTGCGTGGGTGGTCGGGTAGCGCTAGGCTGAGTGAGCGAGGGAGATGAGCGTTGAAGATAAAGGGCAGGAGATGTTTCTAGATGGTTTGGGCTGGTTCGGTTCGATTTCGGTTCGATTCAGCTCAAATCAATCTTGGTTTTTGCTCGATTCTTGATTTTTCCAATTGGTTTTTAGTTCGATTTGTCACTGTACGAATTATTAATTTGTATTTAAATAATTAAATATATTTCCAAACTGTCAGTTTATTAAATTTAAATGGAAAATCTTTGAAAAGAAAAATTTGGGTTGTTTCAAAATGCATAGATTTACCTTTGAAATTTATGCAACTTATATTATGGTATCCTTAAGTTTGCAAGAGACCTATTATGATATTATAGTTTCACATTTCAATAATAACATGTCTTTCATCAAAATAAAATATAAAAATACAGAGTCATAATATGACCTATCAGAGTATAATTATTACTGAAACATGAAAATATAAAATCATAATAGATTTTTTGCAAACTTGAAAGTGCTACAGGCAAATTGCGTAAACTTCATAGATAAATTTATGCATTAAGCATTTTTCTGGGTAATCATAAAAATAAAAAAGGTTAATCATATTTGTGGTGTTTAAATTTTTCAATTTTTTCTATAAATGAAAAAAATTATTATTAAATATTATTTTGTATAACTGCTTTTTTTCATGAAGTGTCCTACATCTTGTTATTATTTGTTTTCTACTCACTGTTTATACTCTTTTATCTTGTTTGTATTCAATTAAAATAACCCGAATTTTTATTTTTTTTCCAATTAAATTTAATAAACTGACAGCGTGGAAAATGTATTTAATTATTTAAATGCAAATTAATAAATTTGTACAGTGACAAACCGAATCGAAAACCAATTGAAAATCGAAAAATCAAACAAAAATCAAGATTTAGCCTGAATCGAACCAGAATCGAACCGAATCAGCCCAAATCATCTAGAAACTCTCTCTTTCTTTTATCTCCACGCTCACCCCTCACCCCTCACCCCTCACCATTTTCTGCACCTCCAGTCAATCCACCAGCGACATCACCGGCACGCAGAGCCGACGCCGCCATCTCCTCCTCCTCTTTCTTCTTCTTCTTTTCCTTTTTTTCCTTTCTTTTCTTTCTTCTCCCTGCTCCTTGTAAGACTTGCAGTTGGAGCAGCACAGACGCGATCCACCAGATCGAGCAGATCCGTCGCGCGCCACCGTCGCTCGTCGCTGCAGCTCGACACTCCTCTCTGTTTCAGCCAGGCAGGGACAGAAGCACCAGCCCTTGCGCCACTGTCGATCCTCCTCCGATCTGTCCAGGCGAGAGTAGATCGAGCGGAGCTGGATTGATTGCACCGGTCCAACGCGTCTCCAGCCACCAAGAACCAGCGCAGCACCACCGCGTCGCACCACCATGCCATCGCGCCACCACCCAGGATCGCAGCCGCCCGCTTTGCCAGTCCAAGTGCGCGATACGCTCGATCCGGCACGCGTAAAATTCCGATCTGGGCAAATCTACGACAGAATTAATAAATTTTGGGGTTATAAATTAATTTTAGTATTTATATTAATTTTAGTAATTTTAGTTAATTAATTCAATTTTCATAATCTTGATTAATTAATTTAATTTGGCTAAATCTGTTGATTAATCAAAATTACTTGATTAATTAAAATGAAATTTTAGTAATAAATAATATTGTCGGGAAATTATAATTTATGGAATTAAAGAAAAAGTTATAAATTAATGTTGATACGGAGAATATGGAGAATGGGAATAATTGACTGAATTGATTGTCCGATGGATGGGCTGTGAAAATCTGAAAAGTAATTAAATGGGTTGATTGTTGGATAGTTAAATTTTAGAGGAAGTGCTGATGAAATTTCGGTAGGAATTAGATTATTTTTAGAACTTTAATAGGTATTATATTTTTAATCGTATTATTCTTATTAATAATAATAATATTATTAATATTAGTATTCTTATTAGTGTTAGGGTTCCCACCTTTGGGCTTGAAGCTTGCCAAGTATTTAACTTATTGTGGTAGCCCATTTTGTTGGTTATCTTTTCTAAATTAATCAGTGATATTTTAATACTGTCCCTCAATGATTAATTTCTCTTTCTTCATCATTCCCAATTGTTGGTGAAAATCTTCTTATTTATTTGCATTTAAATTCTTTGTAAAGATATCGGCTGGTTGATCCTCCGTCTTGATATATTTCATTTTAATCTCTCCTTGTAGAACGTTCTCTCTGATAAAGAGATAGTGAACCTCCACGTGTTTTGTTCTCGCATGCATTCAGCGGCCTAAAGTATCATGCACTATTGTCATATTGTGATGCACTATTTGTGATATTAAATATTGCTTTGATACTTGTGATGTATATGCTGTGCCTTTTTTTTGTGTTGATTTGGGATGAAGTGGGTCATCATGAGTTTATGAGACTGTTTTTGTTATACGGATCCTGATTCTGATTTCTGTTATATTCTATTACTGCTATTGGATCCTGATTCTGATTTCTGTTAGCCGGCTAAATTGGGGAGATCCGGCGCCCTCGGTCACCTACTGTTTCTAGCTGTATGATTATGGGAAAATATGGAAAACCATGGGTTGGTCTCTTTGGGTGCACCTGGTGATCTAGATTTGATCGTTGCCCGCAGGGTGGCCTCCTGTTGTGTGCGCCTGATGATTTAGATTTGAGGGAGACGACCGGGATGTCGCCTGTCGGTATAAAAAAAAAGAGAAGAGAGAGAAAGAAAAGAGAATGGAAAAATAATGAGAGGACCGGTTGTGTGAGGATTATACCGGTCAGCCAAAATGGGGGATTGGCTCCCTGGTGCACATGTGAGTGGATGGGCCATATGGGAGGACGGCTCATCGGGTTTCGGTGACTCCACTGACTAATTTCCATGTGATGTGATTATATGAAGGTGATAATACTTTGTATTGCCATTTGTTGTGACAAATGACAAACTGCATGATCATATAATTAAACGGTAACCAGATAAAAATATTTTCGTATCTGTGTGATTGTGTGGGGTGAGAGGGTTATCTAACCCTACTCATTGAGTTTGGCGCTCACCCCTGTCTACTATTTTTTTTCAGGTAATAGAAAGAAAAGAAAGCCCTATGGAGTTGATACAGTTATTGTAGAAGACGGTTAATGATAGAAATGACGATGTAAATATAAAGGTAGATTTCCGCAATTGTATTCCAGTTGGGTTGTAAATGAATAATAAAAGTCCATCTTAAATATATGAACTGCTGTATTTTGGATACATATGTGAAATAAGTAAATGGGCCTGAATCCATAATTATGAACAGAATGTGAGATTTAAATAAGTTAGGCTTACTACGGGTTTCGGAAGCCTTAAGCCCACCCAGGTTCTAGTGTCGGTCCGGCCCACGGAAATGGGTCGTTACAAAGTTGATATCAGAGCATTAAGTTGGGCCTTAGGAATTAATTGCGGAACATAGATTGAATATAAAACTCCTACGTTGGGATCGGCCGTAACCAACAAAGTAGTGACACTAAATAAAAGACGGTCTTGGTGTAGGTGGACGCACTGTGCACTAAGGCGGTTACAAAATCATAAAGAAAATAAATAATAATAATAAAAAAAATACATAAATAAATAGGGAAAAATAATTATATTAACAGTTAATCAAAGCTTTGAAACGCAGGAGAAATTAGAAGAAAGTGCTGTGGCCTGATCAACCAGTGTACTCTTTCTAATGGAAACTGTGTCCTTAACTTCAAATTTAAATTTTCTTCTTTTAAATTTTCTTCTATGGAATAAATAACATTTATATATAATTTAATTATGTAAGAAGATAAGTGATATATGATTAATAGGTTGAAGTAAATGATAAAAGTACGCTAGTGTTATTTAATATGTGTTGGATGTGGACTATATATACATAAAAATGCACTGAGTGTGTGTGCCTACGGAAGGGGTATGTTGAGAATGAGTTGTTAGTGTTAATTAATAAGAGAACTAGATGATTCAGATTCAGGGACATTGGGATGTAATTAATTAGAGTATTGATTTTTGCATATCTAATTAATGAAGTTTTAGTAATGTTGGTTAGTGGAATTTCTTATGACTATTGAGGCAAGCATTCTTCTGAATGTGATATATATATTAATTGGTGTGATTATATAAATAATATTTGTAAGGTTTAAATGACAAATGATTTGGTGTGAGTTGCAATAATAATTGGTGATGAGTATTTTTTCATAAGAAATAATGTTGGTGAAATTATTATATCAAGTGATTTCTAAATATGAGAAGTAATTACTGCTTGGTGGAGTAAAGTGTATTGTGGTATTCATCGGCTATTTCTTATTAGGTGTATGAATATAGGGAATAATATAAATTATTGTGATTATAAGAAAAGTAAATTGTGATTCTTAGTAAGAGATAAATTACTTTAATCCTTATGTACCTAGTGATGGATATTGTGTGGATTGTGCCACCTTATGGTTTAATATGGAATAAGTAAGAATCAAATCTAATGGGAATTAGTCTGTTGATGTTTAAAATAATTGTTGTTGTTGCACACTAGATGATATGTAAATTACGAACAATGATTTTTGTTTAATGGAAGATTCTATGATCCGAGAATAAGTAAATGACTCATATTGAGAAATTAAGATAATTATGTTATATAAATAATGGGTTATAACAGTTGAGTGTAGTGATGAATGCCATCGAACATTAAGGGATCATTGTCCAATTATTGAATTGATGTTATACCAATGAATTAGATAAGTAAGAATGGATTTAGTCCTGTTATTATATGGATATTAAGAAAAGAATCAGTTAGAGAAACGTGAAGAGTATAAATTAGTATGATTTAAATGAGGATAGTTAGTAGTTAGAGTTTCGATAAAGTTGGAATCACTGTTAAAAAAAAAAAAAAAAGAGAGTAATGATGTGTCAAGGGATTTACGATACGAATTTCTATATTTTGGGATTTCATGAATATGGAAAAATTGTGGTTTGTATTGATCTCACGATGCGTATAGGAGAATAAACTCTAAGACAAAATGATCAAGAGTTTATAGGTGATTACTAATAGTTAATAGAAGTATTTGCAAGTCATGAAAGAGTTATGGATCCATGTGTGATATCTACAAAAAAAAAAAAAATGATAAGTTAGGTAATTAGGTTGAATCGTTTATAGAATTATGATGGTGGTGTATATAATTAATGGATGGATAATGAAAGTTTGGTATGTAGTGAGTGTATTAGACATGATATAAATAAGACCCAACTATATGTAGAAGGATTAATAAGCCAGACTAAGTTTATGGATCTAGTATAATAAAATGGAAGTAAAGGATAATAAAGGAAATTAGTGGTTTTGGGATTGAAACACTATTATAATAGGCGATGATTATATTAGGAAAGTTTTGATTTGAATGTAATTTGAATATAAAGAATAAAGGGGAATGAATAATTTATGGCAAATAAAATGATTTTAGTTTGGTAATCAATATGATGGGAGTGTAATGGTAGCTAGCCTTAATCTAAGGTATTGTTTATATGTAAAATTGAGAAAATCTTTGATCTAACATATGATTTTAAGCATATCTGGATGACTAAGTATATTCGGTTATATCAGTTTCAAAAAAAAAAAAAAAAAAAAAAAAAAAAAAAGTGTGAATGTGATATTGAATAACATATTCCTCTTGTGTGCTTAGATAAGATATATGTGAAGGTACATTAATATTTTTTATTGGTAATTGAATTTAATAGTATATCGTAGATGAAAATTAATTAATTCTTAATAATTTAGGTGGACAAATAGCCATTATGTTGAATGTTGAATTACTTAAGATAGTATTGGTTGAAACTAGAAGATACCGACAAGTACAATATGTCCTAACAAAAAAAAAAATCTATGTATTATATAATTAATACATATATAAATAAATATAATATTAATATATAAATAAATAACATAATGATAAATAAATTAAATATATATAAAAGATATATATAGAATAAAAAGAAAATAATAAAAGTATATGTGAAACATAAAATAAGGAATAATGTATAATAGTAAGATGTAACAGTAATAATGGTTCGGGTAATAATGGTAATAGTAGTAATAATAATACTAACAAAATTTATAAGGTATAATAATAATTTACGAGTTATATCGACCGAATTTATATATGGAGCCTATTGATATACTATGTGTAAGTGCCGAGTGTTGTGGGTAAGAATAATTGAGAATAAGAGTTGATAAAAGATCATGGGACTTGGCTTGAGATGACAACGAATGTGAATAAATTAATTTCTTGATGTAGAGCAATTAAAATAAGGAATTTCTATTAACTAGTGCAACTTTTGCAAATTACTTGTATTATTGAATAAAGAAGGAAAGTTATATTTATGTCATTACTAGAACATAAAGGTAATTAGAGTATTTTTATTTATTAGTAAGTCTTAATTTATTTATTCATTTTGGAATGATTGTAAGATTTTGTTAAGAAACCAAACCAGAACAAACCAGTGAATTTGGGATAATTTTTGCGAATTTAGTAAGTAGAATACACACAAGTATTCGAGGATTGAAAACATAAACTATAAGATTATTGGATGGGTAACGAGATGGTTAAGATTACATCTTAATTATGTTGGATGCCAACTCATGTGTGTCAGTTAGATAAATTATTATTTTAAATTACCCATGGAGTGATCGAGGTACCAATTAAGATGAGAATGATTGAAATATAATTTGGAGTCAATGTAAAAAAAAAAAACCTATTCCGAATTTCTCAGTAATTGGTAGCAATTATGATTGAGTGAATATGATTGTGTTATAAATGGCAGTTTACGATATATCTTGTGGTTTAAGGGAATACTTCATTAGTTAAATCCATTCGAGGATTGGTACATTGTAACTCTGATGTGGAAGGATTCAATGAGGTATTAACCTTATTTAAGTACAGAATATAGAGGGAACATAATTAAGGTTGAGGATATCGTATTAGGTATAAAGTTATAAATTTTTTACAAAATTTTGAGGGTGATAGACATTACGATTAGACTTGGGAGAAAAGGAATAACCCAATGATAGTATTATCTGGAATTTCATAGGCATTTCATGGAGGGATTAAGAATAAACATAAAAAAAGGACATAGTTAATTAGGAGGAGTGGAGTTAATAGAATCGGTGTTTGCAAATTTTAGAACAATAAATTCAAAATTATCCGGCATGGGCAACAGCTTACTTGGCTGTTGGCATTAAAGTTCTTATTCATTAATTAGTTAAGCAAATGGGTTTATGACAAATGGAAAGAGGAATACAGAAGTCAATTAACTAAAATAGGGACTTGATCTGTGAATTTAAATTCTCTCATATATAGTTGAGCTTACTACTTGTTTTTATGGATTCCATTAGTAGGATTTGAAAGATGAGATTGTATATCTATCTTTGTTTGGAAAATGGTGAAGTTGATAAATGAGTTATGAGCTTGGGATAATGAGTCAGATCTCCCTAATCAGTTGCATTAGCAACTAGCCAGAGACAGAAATGTCATGATTTTGTTTTGTAAATAAGATTGTAGTATACCAGAATTTGTTCTCTTTAATCGTGGAACTGATCAAATGGTACCTTAATGTAGATGATAATAATCGAAAACCTCCTTGAATTGGTAGCGACCATCTTATCTAATTATAAACTTCTTCCATGATTATTGGAGCAATGATATTAATATTTGGAATTAATGGAAAATGGATGAATCAGCATGTAGGTTTTGAATTTTGAAATAAGTATTCTAAATTGGGATAGCAGTAAATTTGAATATGTGGATTCTTGTATCATACGATTTAATACTTGGTTTATGTATGAGCGTCTTATTGAGTGATTATCATTGCCTATAATAGCTAGTAAGAGATAAATGAGGCGAGTCACATGATATATAGCTAATGAGATTAATAACCCTTACTTGAGCAGAGGTTATGAAGAACTTAAATTATTACGTGTAAAGATGAATACTAGTTCGAATATGTGCCTTGGGTTATGAATGTTTTACTTGATTTGACTTGTAGATATAGTACAACTCAAGTTTAAATTAACTATGGTGATAAGGTAGATATCTAAACTTTGGGGATGAACTAAGTATTCTCCTGAATGTGAATGTAATAACTTTTAGCAGTTTAGCATTATGTGAGAAGTACAACCACCATCGTCGTAAACAACTGTTGCATCCTAGTTTCTTGTTATTTTCAAAATTCGAGGACGGATTTTTTTATAAGGGGGGAAGACTGAAATAACCCGAGAAATAACCGAATTT